AAAAAATGTTAACAAATGCAGAAAAGTTTCAAAAGTCGTGCAAACAAACATGGAGATCTAAAATGTAAGCTTGGCATTGTATGCTAGACAATGTGAGCAAAGGTGTGGAAAGTAAAAGTCGTGCATCTCGTTTCAGCAATAAAAATGTACAATACCTTTGACAAATTAGCTGTAAAAACTAATCGGAGATTGTTTGGTTCTTGCAGCCATAATAAAGCATTCAATTTTCCCAGCTTTATTAACATTTTGTTCTGAAACTGTCCTCTATGAACTTTCCCCATTTAACATTGTACGCAATTATGGCGATCAATGAGAGTGTGCAGCCTTTAATTATACTTCCTAGCAGATTAAAATCACTCCATGTCTCTGTCGCTTACTCAGAAAAAATTGAAATTCATTTGTTTGATTGTTTTTGTTTTTGTTTTTTAGCATGAAGGGACATCTCTGCTTAACTTTGTCTCTGGATACCCATCTTGGCATGAATACTTACAAAGCATGGCAAAAGACGGTACTTGGGGCGATCATGTTGTTTTGTTTGCTGCAGCAAATCACTTTCAAACTCCCATCCGTATTATCAGCAGTCTCGACCATGAGATAGTTGTCCAGCCAGATCAAGCACTTGTCAATACCAACCCCCTTGTGTTGGGACACATTCACGAGTTACACTATGTTAGCCTTCAGCCCAGACAAGGTAAAACATTCTTTCCAATCACAAACATCCTGGCATTTTTTTTTGGACTTGTGGGAATTATGTTTACGGAATTTATATACATACAGCTATTTCGAGAAAGGTTGTCGGAAAAAATGTGCATGTGACAATCCCAAAAGGTAATATGGGATATGAGCAATACACTGTTCCTGGCACTGTAGCTGTCGAACCTACTTTTGTTGATTTCCTTTACCACTTGCAGACGTATGTTTTGTCATTCTTTCAAATTTCTTTGAAAAACAGTGAAATTAAAACCACCCACAATACCTTTCGGGGTTGTCGCATGTACTTTATCCGACAACCTTCCTCAAAACAGCTGTTTGTCAGTAGCAGAGGAATTGCAAGATGATGTTAATACTGTAAATGTCTCTATGAGAATGAACTTTATTTTTTTTTGTAAACAATAAGTTGTCCCTGCTAAATCTGAATATGCTAGTTGTACAACATGTCATTCCATCGGATATAATAATTGTAACCTTGTACTAAAGTGAGCAAGCTCAAAAACCTGCTCGTTTGTGTCCCTATCCTTGATTTCATAGTTTTAAAAAGGTTTCTATAAGAGAAAGAATTAGATAGTGTTTAGTTCAATGTGTGTAAGGGCAAATCTTAGAAGCAACAAACAGCATATCTCATTTATACTTTTAAAAAATTGTGAAATGAAATGAAAGAGTTAAAGGACAGAACTTGTCCAAATCTTTTTTTAGGATTGCAAAGAGTACTCATCACTGTCTAAACTTTCAGTTTTCCTTGTTTCGATCCTTTCATTTGTTATCCCTGCTTTTTTTTCCAAGTCATTATATATGTCGGTGATTATTGAAGGAGCTTGTAGTTGTTTTTGTTTACACACTTGTGGCTTGAAAAGAGGAAGTCTCCTTGATATAGTTTACCATGAAAGAAGATGAAGGAGCTTTAAAGTTGAAAGCCTATTCCATTTGCTTGTTTTAAAGTAAAAAGTGAAAAGTGTTCTGTAAGACAAAAGTTTTGTATTGACTAGTCTGCAGTAACTAAGAATAATTTTATTTTTCACTTTTCTTAGCTTTTAAAGGATGATTCAGTCTCTTCCATTAAAAAACCGTGGCAAAATTGCCTTTTCAATTTAGTACACAGTGGCTGACATAGTTAGGTTTTTGCCAGCTCTATTAGTTTTATTTTTAATTTGATATAGGACAGTTTATATCAGAAAGCACTACGTTAGTACTTGGACGTGCCATGTGTCCATTACCGTAATTCCTTAGCAGAGAGGTACCCAGAATTTACCTCTACTGTAATTAAAAATTGCAAAGATACAAGAGAACTCTTGCATTAGCCTGATTCCTTTACGGTATGAGGGCACTCGCTCAAACTCCATCAGCTCGTTAGCTAAAATGACTGTTATGTTCTGTACTATTGTACAATGAATTAGAACGTTAGTGTTGTTATTTCTGAATAATTTCTATAACTGATCATTGTAAAGAATAACAGTTGTTTATTTTATTTTGCAAAATTCTTAATCATTTGAGAAAAAAAAAATTTCAAATGGAAGGGTTTATAGCTGATCTAATACCTTAATAAAGTTCATTATTATTTATTAAGGCAGGTACAAAAGTCGGACCAGATCAACTCGGACCGCCAGTCCGGGTCGCATCAACTCAGATCGACTTGGACCAACTCGGATCGAATGAAAAAATAAAAATAATATAAAATTGGACTCGGATCAACTCGGATCATTAAAAAAAAACAACTCGGATTATAAAAAGAAAAATATATTCAGTCGGTATCACTTAAGTTTCACCCGCCATTTTGTTTTTTTTTCACGAACTCGTGGTTGCATAAATTAATTTTATTTTCATTTTTATTAATTTTAATAATACACTAGTGAGCCGCACACGTACATTTCCAGTGAACATTTTCAACTTGGAAGGAGGAGAAATCATGCTTGCCCGGGACAACGAAAATTTTCGTACCCCGGGCGAGAATTGAACTCACAACCCTCAGAATACCACATGTTTATCGGACGTTCCAACCACTGAACCGGAAGGTCGCGAGTTCGATTCTTGCCCGGGGCATGGAAATTTCCTTGGTCCTGGGCGAGCATGGTTTCTCCTCCTTCCAAGTTGAAAATGTTCACTGGAAATGTATGTGTGCTGCTCACTAGTGTATCATTAAAATTAAGTTTCAGAAGTCCTGCAGAAAAAAAAACAAACAGGAACAAACAAACAAACAAACACTCTTCGGTAACTATCTAATGCAATCAACAGAGAAGGCTTTTGATGATTTTCTCATAAATAATTCAGTAGTCTAATAAATAAGCAAATATATACATTCTAGGCGACTGAAACTATCATTTCTTTACTGTCGAACCACAACCACGAGTTTATAACATGATTGGAGAGGAACTGGCACTAGTAAAACAAAATGGCGCCTGAAAGCCACAGAGAAAAAAAGGATGATCTGGCCTTTTGTACCCTCCAAATGGGTGAAACTTTCAGTTTTGCTGATTTAATTTAAGTTTTTTGATTGCTCCAAGTTGATCCGAGTCCAATTTTATTTTATTTTTATTTTTTTATTCGGTCCGAGTCGATCCGAGTTGATCCGACCCGGACTGGCGGTCCGAGTTGATCCGGTCCGACTTTTGTACCTGCCTTATTTATTATCATGTTTCTTGTAGAATTAATCGCCTCCTCATTTTTCTATCTAATCTCCAAGCAGGCGAGACCTGTAAGTGCGTTCTTGTTGTATAAATAAATAGAGTGGTGAAAAATGTGCAATTTTCACCCTTGAAGTCTCGCCTGCGCCACAGATGAAACTAAACTCTGGTTAAGTCCTTCTGCGTCTACCAGGTGTTGCATGTGGACCAACCGTAAGGGAACCTTTTGTTAGGGGCTATTTACATGGAGGCAGAAAGATTATAGAACCAGGCAGATCTTAGAAGTGCGAGTAACTTGTCATTTGGTTATTACATGCAGGGTTGTGGTCAGGTTAACTGTTAACTGCCTTTCAATTAACGGAGGCTTTTTTGGCTAAATCGGCTAGTTTGTTTTACTCATTTTAGTGTGAGGCTGGAAAACATGAAGATCATCTTCATCCAAATTATGTGTAGTTATCTTTCACTACATTCAAAAGAATTGATGCTGTTGTATTATAATTAGTACTTGCTGCTTTCCTCTGTATGTGTATCTCTAAAGTGGACCACATATAGTTTTGAAACAAAACCTGTCCCAAATATTACATCCTCAATCAGAAACTACCAAAATGATCCTTTAATGATGACAGACAAATTATTTGTCCTGCACTTTCAGTTAGCACTGAAATATTCAAAAATTCAAATACTCATGCCACAAATTCCACACGTACCTGTGGAGATTAAAAAAGGCGTTGGTTTTGCCAATTTGTACAATGAAGGCCAAGTTTTCGCTGAAACTTTGGGATTTTAACATTTGAATTTTATGTACTGTTTAAAAAACGAGCAGGAGTGCATTACATTACTGTGAGTTTTTTAAACGGCTTCAAAATCTCTGACATAGATCAACTCATTCTTGCACTAATATTTAGATTTGGGGTTATTTTGGTCTAAAAATTGGAAGTAAAGTTTAGCCATGTTTTTATCAGATATAAAGAGACTCATTAAACATCAATTTCATTTCTTTTTAATTACGAATTATTAATGAGTTTTTGAAATAAATTTATCAGTCAGTAAGTGCACGGACACAGCAAAGGAAGAAATTCAATTATTACTAACAGTACAATCTTATTGGGTATTGCTGTGATGTATATAAGTACTGTTTCAATAAAAAGCAATATAATATTCCTTGTGCTATAAAGATATTGCACTTTTTTCCAGTGTTAAATTTTACAATGTTTAGTATGAAGTGAGCCAATCTTACACCAAGAAGCCATGTCTCAGTCTCATACAGTGCTAGTGGCAAAAAGGTGCAAGATCCATGTTCTGACACTTTTTTCTGTGTCTTTGCAACCTGCCATTAGCACCCCATATTGTTATAAATATTTTATATTATTTTATTGATTTTATCTGTTATTATGATTAATTTTAATTTATTTCTTTTTAATGCACTGATTAGGATCTAAGATAATAAGAACTTTAGAAGATTCAACAAGCAAATCAGAGGACAGTGATGGCAGTACACCCCAGCTTACCACTGATTTTCCAGAGGATACAACTGGAAGATTAGACGGATGTGGTGGTTCTGCATCACAGCTTACCAGCCGTCTCCATTCATCTGTAAACAATACTGCAGGCCACGCAAAGAAGCCAATTAGAGGCCCTCCTGACCTTAATAAAGTTGTTCCATCCATGGCTGACATTAAAACAATAAGCAAACCTTCAAAAGATGCTGATCACCCTGTTAATGTACAAGTGGCTGAAGACTCAGATGAAGAAGGTAATTTTTGTTGTTAGAAAATAGGTTCACTTATAGTTGAGAGTGGAAATGTGATCTCTGTACAATGAGTAATAAGGAAGACAAAGAAGACCAACTCTAAGGCTACCTTCTTTTTCTGGGGTTGTGAGGGGGGGTTGTGTTAGAACTAGGAAGACCCTGGGAGGGAGGGACAACTTTTGTTTGGTTAATACATGCAAGGCTGGGGAGTGATTTACTTGTAACTGCCTTTCAACATGCGCTCTTTTTAGCTGAACCACTAGCACAACACATTCTTATTATAACATTATTATTAACTCATCTTTAATTATTTTTTACCTCCACTGATCAGAATCCAAGATAGTCAAATCTTCAGAGAATACAACTGGCAGATCAGAGGGCAGTGATGGTAACACTCCCTGGCTTACCACTGGTCTCCCGTCTAGTTCAAAGAATACTACAAGTAACACAAAGAACCAAAGAACCACATCAAAAAGAAAGAGAAAAAAGAAAAGAAAGAGAGAAAGGGAGGAAAGGACTCCAAAGGAGTGCATTAGGGACCCTCCTAAGCTTAATAAAATTCTCCCATCCAGGTCTGACATTAAGGCAAAAAACAGGAAACATGCTGATCTTCCTGTTGATGTTTTGTTACTGACAGTGGAGGATTGTGAGTTTTTAGCTTGTTACAGTGAGCTAAAAAACCCCTATAGATGTTTTTTTGCTGATCTTGGTTTTGTGTACTTTTCTGATGTAAGTGAAAGTCAAGAGGAAGTTAAAGTTGCATTGTTAAGATGTTACAAAAGTGGTCCTGGTGGTTCTCTCGTCTCTGTTAAGAATGCTGCCACTGTGCTAAGACCTAAAGCAGTTATATCTGTTGGTGCATGTAGTGGTCTTCACCCTGAGAAATCCAAGTTAGGAGATGTTGTTGTTTCTGCCAAATTAGCAACATATGCATCAAAAGTGGTGATCAATAATCAAGAACAGTCAACTGGCATGAGGAGTTATGTGAGCAAATGCTTCCTGGGTGTCATTAAGAATTGTGCTGATGGCTGGCAAGCACCTTTGAAGAACCTGGCTGATGCTCAACAAGTTCAAGTTCATACTGCTGCTGAGTTTCTGAGTGGACCAGAACAAGTCATTTCTGGACAACGACGTGATCAACTTGCTGAAACCAATCCTCAGGCAATAGCAATGGAAAACGAAGGAGAAGGTAGGCCGACTGCTTTTTTGCAGCCAGTCTTTATAAGAAGGTGCACACAGCCAGGTCAAGCTTTGCTTGAGGTGGAAAGAGACACAGTAGCATGCATCATACTTGTACTAGGAAAGCAAAAATTTTGTTTCCTTTAAAGCATCAAAAGGTCGGGAGTTTGGCACTTAAAATCATGTCTGTCAGTTTCATTGCGAAATCCTCTCGTTTTTGCTTGAGAAATAATTATCATATTGCCTAAAACATTATGCGGCTAAATCAAATTTAGGCTAAGTTTAACTCTAGACATTGCTGGCCACTTAAGTTGGTCTTTCAAGTGAGAAGGCTCTTCAGGGACCCTGGGAAATTCACAGCTTCTCTGTTGAGGTCATACCATTACATTCAAGTAGCTTATTAATGTTGCTTGTACTCGTCAATTGTTCTGCTCCTTACCCTGCCTTCCCTTTGGTAAGTACAGTGGAACCTCGTTAATACTGTCACTAATGGGTCAAAAAAATTTGGCCTCGTCAACGGGGTGGCTGTATTACAAGGGCAGGGTCATGGGTTTAGGGTTAGGGTTAGGGTGACTTTGGGACTTTGGGACTGTAATGACAAGCACATCATACATCGCTGTCACACTTCTCGTACAACTCTGTTTTCTTAAATAAATAACAGGAATGTAGATATCACGTACTGTAGTTGTAAAAACTACTTGAAACTCCGTCAGGACATAAAACAGTTTTTAAAAATCGGCTATTAGACCACCACAAAATACATTGTAAGTGACTATAGTTTAAAAACAGTAGAAAAACAAGCTCAGCTTAATTAGTAGGTCAATGAAATTAACATATCACAGGCATTAATCAGTTTTCAAAATTTCTGACAAGTGGCCGTTTTAGTGGGTGAAATATTTTATTGTAAAAGATGCTACTGTTTGGGATTTTAAAATATGGCAATTGGCCACATCAATGGGTGACTGTGTTAACAAGGTTTTTTCATTAGAAAAGGTATGGCCATTTTGCCAGGCCAAAAATAACAAGGTGACTGAATTACTAAGCTGGCCATAAGGCGGGGTTCCACTTAATAAAATCTGCATTGGTTAGCTGTAAGATGGTGCCTGAATTATTGCCACTCGAAGGGTTGTCATGGTTATGAGCAGCTGCACTCGACTGCAGTTTCCTGGCTCTACAAGCCTTGCAAGCACCTCCACCCACACTCATCTTTGTTGATAAATTTAAATTACACTATAATGAAACTTATACAAAAATGGCTGCCAACGTCTCTCACTGGTCAAGTTTCTTATTTTGCTGATGAAGACACTTAAATGAAACAGGACTTTTCTCAAACCTCATGTACTGTTTGTTTTGTTGTTCTACAGGCATATTTACAGCAGCATTTGATTGTCAAATTGAGTGGTTAATTGTAAAAGGAATAGCTGACTATGCAGATGGTTCTCAGTTAGCTTCAGAGAGTTGGTCTTCCTGTGCCAGCGTGATGGCAGCATCTCTTGTTGCACACATGTTGAATGAACCCCGTGTTTTCCATTCATGGCCTCATTATCAAGGTAATCATGCTATCATAAAGTGCTGCCACATCTTGGCATCTGATTTATTGAATCTATTGTTGGGTTCGTTCTATAGTACAGTCACAGATAAGCTACATGGTACATGTAGCTTATGTGGTGTATGCCATCCCAAATTCAGCTGTCCGACACTCACCACTTGTTCAAGTTGTTTAAGTTGAGATTCAAGTAGTATAGTGAATGTGATACATTTCTGTAAAATAACAAGAAGCATTAGAAGTGTGCATCTTATTAAAAAGGGACCAGTACGGTTTGAGATAATTTGCAATATTTAGAAGCTATCATGATAGACCGGATTATACCGTAAATCCTCTATTAAGCCCCCCTCTTCTCAAATAACCCCCCTCCCTCTTATAATCCCCCCTTCCCTCCCCTAATTATTCTTTACTAATAAGGATGGATGGTTTCATACCAACTGGAAGTTTGGATTTGATTCTGATCCTCCGTGCATGACCTTAAACCTTCTTGTACTTGAGCTTTTCCACTTGGTTTTGTAGTTCTCTATCGAGAGCTGATACCATCGTCTTTTCTAAATTAATTGAACGATTTACGGTAGTGATATTTTGACATTTGACATGCATATTTTAGACAGTGGTGAAAATGTTATTATTATTATCGTTTTATTCGTCATCAGTGAATTAATAAAATATCAATTTTGTTATCAAACTAATGGGTGTTTTTTCCTCAGGACGGCTACCACAAGAGTTAATCACCCACTATGACGAAACCTCAGTCGCTCCTTTCATCGAACGTATGAAGAAACATGTCCGAGATGTCACTGACAAACCTTACAGAGACCTCAAATCACCTTTTCATAATCCAGGCGAAGGACCTAGAAGAGATCTAAAACTTGACGAAATCTTTACCAATTTGATTGTTTCTGAAGGGAGAGCGAAGTATGACTTTTCAGGAGACAGAGTGAAACAGCTAAACGAGTACCACAAAGCCAATGAAAGTTTACGACCAACACTGCCAGGAGATATTTTTGATGCTAAAGAGCAGAAGATTCTTGTTGTCGGTCGTCCTGGAATTGGAAAAACCATGTTTAGCACAAAGATTCTTCGCAACTGGGCGTCCGATAACCTTTTCAACGAAACACAAAAATCGCAAGTCGATTTTAAAGTTGCCTTTCTCGTTAAGCTGAGAATGTTTAACTCTAGAAACCAAGAACTAAATCTTCGCGAGATTCTGGATCACTCAGAGTATTCAACCGCTCTTTCCGAAGAGCTCTGGACCTACATCCGCCATAACCCAGAGCGAGTACTGTTGATTTTTGATGGATTTGACGAATATTCTGGTAGGACTAAAATAAATGAAGATGACATTCCGTACAGAAACAGTGAAGAGGAAAGGATGCCTGTTTATTTCCTTATGAAGAAAATAGTAGAGGGAAAAATTCTTACCGGTGCGACAATCCTAACGACTACAAGACCCAATGCCGTGTCATGTATCACAAGTCTTCACTTCGACAAAACAGTTGAAATTCTGGGATTCTCAACTGAGCAAGTAAATAATTATGTAGAGAAGTTTACAAAGGAGGCGGACAAAGCGGAAACCATAAAGCAACACATCACCAGTAACTTAAACCTTGTAGCCTTCTGCTACGTTCCTGTTAATTGCTTTATCATTTGTAGTTGCTTGTTAGAGTTGCTTGGTAACACTGGCTTTACCAGCCTCCCGACGAGACTGACAGAAATATACTCAATTGCGGTAAGGATGTTTTACTTTAGCTACGATGATGATCAATATCGCCACAATAAAACTGAAGGTCAACAGTATTTTCTTAAGCCGTTTAAGGAACTGCCTTCCTCTGTGAAAAATGTGTTCACACGACTGGGAAAAATTGCTTTTGACGGAATTAAAAACGGAAGACTAATTTTTGAATCACACGAAGTTAACGACCTAAAGGGTAATGGCCTGTTTCACCGTTTACCTGATTTTAGAGACCGTCCTTTAGCAGAGGGAAGAGCGCAATATTGCTTTTTACACCTGACCTTACAGGAGTTCTTAGCGGCGAAGTATTTGGTAGACACGTTGAGTTCCGAACAACTGCGGGGTTTTGTTTCCGATCACATCAAGGATGGCGCGTGGAAGGTTGTGATGCAGTTTGTGGCTGGACTGCTGGCTGAAAAAGAAGGACAGTCAACAGATATTTTCAGCGACCTTCTTCCCTCAAAAACTGTTACTAATGAAGTTGAAATCAAGATGAATGAAGATTCAAAGGAACCAACTGAAACACTGACCTTTTGGCCACATTATGAAGACAGGTTATTAGTGGTGACGCTATTCAATTGCATGTATGAGAACAAAGCCTCTGATCGAGAAGTTCAAAAGAAACTGGCGAAAATTGGTTGTAATGCGCTTAATTTTTGGAGGTGTAACCTGTCACCTCTCGACTGTTTAGCATTAGTGCATGCACTTAAATCTGTTGAAGGAATTGTGTATTTTAGTTTAAACTGGAACAACCTTCAGTCGCTAGGATGTATTGAGATTGCGAAGTTGTTACCTGGCAACCAACACAATCAGGGTTTTTGCGAACTAAAAATATTACACCTCACTTATAACCAAATAACTGATGAAGCAGTTGAACATTTATGTACAGCACTCACACACACTAACTGCAAACTAAACAGCTTAAACCTCGGGTATAACAAAATAACTAATAAAGCAGTTAAACATTTAGCTACAGCACTCACACACACTAACTGCACACTAAACAGCTTCGACCTCAGTGGTAATCAAATAACCCAGAAAGGTATACATCTCGTAAACTCATTGAACATAAACTGTGAAGTAGTTTTCTAATAAATCCTTGTATGCAATGTAAATGTTTCTCTGTTGAAGGAATTTTGGATTTTGATTTAAGCTTCAACAACCTTCGCTAGGATGTATTGAGATTACGAAGTTGTTACCTGGCAACGAACACAATCAGGGTTTTTGCGAACTAAAACATGTTAATGTATGGGTAGTTTAGCGGGATAGAATACTTAAATGTTTAACTCCTTCATTAGTGTCTTTATTAGTACTATGGAGGTTTCAGCTTCGTGTATGTGAGTGCTGCAGTGAAGTGTTTAACTCCTCGATCAGTCATCTGGCATCTCTCGAGGATTTTGCATCCCGCTATACTACCCAAACCTCTTTAGTAATAAAATAACCCAAGAAGCTAAAAGTATCTTACAACTAATGACAATATTCCGTTAAGTACGCTTATCTAATCTATTTAAACATATGTTGGTTTTCCCCTGAATAGCGCTGATTTTAGTCTGGATTCAGTGGCGTTTTTGGAGCCTTAAAAAGAAGTTGTTTTTTTTTCTTTTTCTGCAAAGCTTCACAGTGATCAGGTAACTTCAAAGCAATCTCGCAGCCCTTCGATTTTCTGTTGTATCACTTTCATAATACTTTCAGTTTTAGGTGAAGCGAAATTGTTTTTGGACACTACTATGTCTTTATAGTGTACTTGAACAGGTTGTGATTTCAAAAGTTAAAAGGTTCATATGAAAACTCATAACTAAAAATCTCCAGCAATGCGATTGTGGAGACTGAGTTAAATTGACAGACACTGTATTTATTCATTTGAGATAGTTGTTCATACAGTAAAGCTACTTGTGATATATCATAGCTTTACATAGTACAATTTGGGATTGAGTAACATTCTGCGAAATAAAACTAACACCACGCGAAAATTGTTTTTTAGGACACGGTGGCTTTATATAGTATTGCGTAAACATAGCAACGTCATATTAACAATGTGTATTTAAACAAACTGAAACAGTTCATATGTAAATGACGCTTTACTATTAACTCTGAAAAGTATTCCATAATGGCGACACTGTCACAAATTGGCAGACATATATGATCAATTTAGAAAGCCATTTAGACAGTACCCTGCGAGTGGTGGTTAAACCACTGCTCGTAAGGTACGCATACACGACTACATATGATATATGCATTAAGAAATTTTTCTGTTGAAATGTTATTAGCTTAATGTGATCATGCTTTCACTGATTTACAGTAAGCATTTTAGAATTTTTTGTACATATAGTGGCTGATACATTTTCAGGTTTCCTGTTTATCATTGTACATAGCCTTGGTTTTTTTAAAATGATGTAATTAAAGTTCCGTTAGACCAGTAACATGTCGGCCTGGCCTCGTTCCTTAGTAAATCAAACTGTCCACCCTTCAGCGAAATACTTATGGGACAGAAGAGGCAAAGGTGGATCTAGACTGACTTGGGGTGGGAGGGGCTAGAGGCCCATGCACCCCCTTTTTATCGTACGGATACTTCTCTTTCGGCTAAGATATGAAACGGATGGATCCAGGGACCTGTTGCTTTCTGCCCAAAATGAAGTATCTCTGGGCCTTGGTTAAAAAAATGCACGTTATTTGAGTGTCAATGTAGTTTAGCAGGAAAGTACTAATTGGGGACACCAGTATTTTTACGTCTCCTACTGGAGACGGGATCGCCATTTTACGTGGTCATCCGAACCAGGCGAAGGTCTAGCCATTTGCAGGGCAAAGACAGTACCTTCATTTCTCAGTCATTTTAAGACCCTATGTATTGTTCTTGTCCCGGGAATCGAACCCGCGACCTCCCGCTCTGTAGTCAAGCGCTCTACCGACTGAGATAATCCTGCCGCGGTTACAATAATAAGAGAAGACCACACAACCCATCCTCTCCTTACCCCTTCCTTTGATCCCCAATTGTTTGTAACAAATGTTGAGGTGAAAACCCCCCTTTTTTTTTACTTAGTGACAAGATCTCCTTCCCTGAGTTGTTTGAAAGCAACTACCAGTTACCTGCTGTCAGAATCACTCAGAAAGCTGATCTCGCCAACTATAAACTGACCATCACCCCTTTTGTATTTGGCGCCAGCTAACATAGGAAGTAACAGTTAAGTTAGTAAAGTGGACCCCAATCGAAATCCAGGATCCTTCTATCATGCACACGCAGGGTGATTAAACCCGCCCGCTGTAATTGGCATCAGCTGTTGAAGTGTCCCCGTCAGCCCCCTTCTTTTGTTCTTCCTCTTTTTTAATTTTTTTCATGATGATTTTGTTTTTCTCTCCCACCATATTTTAATTTAGCTACCTTGAATAACAAAATAAACCGAAAATGATGAGTATGGAAAATAAACCAAAAACAAACTGTATTTAACCCTTTAACCCCCAATATCCACATACAAATTCTCCAAACCTGTGTCTATACATTTCTATGTAAAATAAGTTGAGAGAATTTGTTGAAAGATCAAAGCATTTCCCTCAGGTGATTATTTTATTAATTCTCACAACCTTTTTTCTTGATTGTGTATTTATATTGTTAAGGGAGAAAATTGAGGTTTGTCACTTTGGGGACTTAGGGGGTTAAAGAGGTTGACACAAAATAGTTCCAAGAATTAGTGAACCTGTAGCCCTCTTAGATGTCCCCAACTAATTGGAAACACCTTCTACATCGAATTGGAATTTGAACATGTTGGTTATTAAGGAGAAGGGAAAACCGAAGCAAGGGCGCATCCAGCGTGGTTTTGTTAAAGGTGGGGGGTGGGGGGAGGTGATACCAGTCCACTCCCGAACGAAACTTTAAGTTGAAATTGTTTTTTCTTGTCCAAACGAGACGTAACGTTAAAATTGTCTTAGAGCTGCCCCAAAACGTTGCCCGTGCCCGGGCTTATGCAATTTGGTTAGTCCTTGAAAAATTTACGAGTGCTGATTTATCCCAAATTGTACGAGAAAAATCATGCGATTACCTATGCTAAAATCACAGTACTCGGGATAATCCGTAAAAAAGAGGGAGGGGGAGGGGTGAGGAAGACTGTTTTCTTTTCTTTGTTACAACAGCATGTTCCAGGAGCCGTGGCTGAGTTGACCAAACGCGGCAACCACAAATGATGTTTTTGTAATCGTTATTCATCATTGGAGAACTCGGTATGAAAATCACATTACTGTCATCAGTTCACGTCTTGCGAAATCTAACTTTACTGATCTGGAAGTAAGAGGGATGGTATGCAGTGTTTTCACTAAAGACCAACCTCGTGTCCCAGAGCTTTTCCCTAAAAACTGTAGGCATATGATAAGGGTATCAGTTAATTCTATAGCAGCTATATGACCAGGTATGTTTTTTGTATAGTCATCAAAGGATGTTAAGGGTTTGGCCGTTTGGGCTTAGTTCTTCTACAAAGACTTTGATGAGTAAGTCTCCCCACCGCTCCCCCGGCCGGGTATCTAAGGTCATCTAAAGCCTTGCAAGAACAGGCTTGGTTTGGGGAAGCAAAAACAGAAGGCAAACACAGGTAAAGTACTTTTGACTTTAAATATCATCTATTCAATGTTTTGGCCGTTCAATGCAATGTTTAATTGTTGACAAAAGCATCTTGTTCTTGTTGCTTTACATCATCTTGATGGTAGAATCTGTCAGACCCAAAGTGACATCACGGACCACTACCAATTTATAGGCACAATACACAAATGGATTCATTTCCTACACTTCAGTTAATTATTTCTTTTATTTATGACGTTCATAGAGATTACATGAAACGAAAACTAAAGCCTATTCAACTAACTTAGAATTCCAGATCCAATTCCAAATTTTTCGGCTCACTTGACGTGTAAGTCATGAGACTCTTTTGAACCAATGAATGCAAAGATTATCTTCAGAGATGAGACGCATCGACGACATATTCTCAGATACGGAAGTGTTATGAACGTCAGTGTGGAATTTACTGTGTTCGCTGTCTTTATCGGCCCTTTATCCCTTTCAGTGCTAAATTTTCGACTTTTTGTAGTTTGGGACAAACCTAAAAACATCGGCAGAGTTTATTTTTGCAGCAAGCATATCGTGTTCTCTGTACAGTTGATTTTCCGCATTGCATTGAAATGCATGCGTTGCTTGTCAAGGTAAGAACCGAAGTTAATGCATTTCTTTTTCATGTGAAATCTAAGCATACTGTGTCTTCTTATTGTGTGCAAGTATCTTATCAGGTCCCCCGAGGCTAAACGCTAAACTTCAAAATTTTTCGACACATATATGTACTTGCGTCGCATACTTGAACAACGTTGACAAGTTGTGGGGTATGAAGCAACGATCTAGTAGTCAAAGAAGGGGAATTTTGTGACTCCTTGATTCGATTTGGTTTCTCGTGCAAAAGTTGACAAACGTCGGTAAGAGATGGGGTGGCCGGGAGGCGAGGGCATGATCTAAGGCGCACGAGTGTATGAAGGACGTTCTATTCTCTAACGCTACGCTCAGCCGAATAGAAAATATTTCTGTTATAAGTATAAAGAGACAAAACAACAGACTGAGAAATGGAGGGAGCCGCCAGCAATCGAGTTAATAACACCAGTGATAGTTACAGCAAAAACAAGGAATATATGCATGCTTAAATACAGATACAGAGGACTAAGAAAGGCTAGATTGAGGAAACATCATAAGTGCTAAAAAGATATGCTGAACAAAGAATTAACAAACTAAAACAGAGTCAGATCATTTTAACAAAGCAATGCGAAAATACAAGAACAAATTAAACGTAGGTAAAACCTAAAAAACTCATACATAAGAAAACGAAAAAAGCAGTCACCAGTAAGCTGGTGGGCGTCAAGTGGTGTGAAATTCACAAGGAGTGGTTTATAAAGGATCTAATTAATGGTCCCAATGGGAACTGAACTAAACAATGTAATCAACAACTAAAAGAAATACATTGTGTGGGAGGAAGGAACAGCCTACCCACGTTTGATATATTAAAATTCTAATGTGACTCTATCTAAGGCTTTCTGGCTCGTTTTCTGTATTTGGTTTGGTTTTCTTTGTGCTCAAGTCTCTTCTGCGAATTGCAATACAACAGAGTGGTGAAAAATTTGCAATTTTGACACCAAAGCCTTGAAGTCTTTAGCCTGTACCACAGATGAAAAGTCCGTCTGCGAAACAGCGCTGAAATCATTGTCCTAGGCCTCCACCTCTGTACCAGGATTCGAGTATGAGCTATGATTGGTCTGTTATAAATGCCATCGTCGATTTGCCAATCAAGATGAAAGGAAATTCTAAATGCTCTTCCGGTAATTTGTTGAGTCTGTTGGGGGCCAGAATGAACACGTAGGCGCTGCTTTGCGGACATTACTAACAGCGGTTAAATTAGGTCTGCGACACAGGTTGGTTTAAGTCATGTTAGAATTTTGGTATATCGAACATGGACTATTTGCAAATCTGAGGTCAAATCTGTCACATAACATCCAATCAAAATTTTTAAGTTGCTTTAGGGAAAATTACACACGTAAATTAATGTATGACTCATTGATTTAGACTTGATGAAACATGAGCTGCACGTTTATCAACTTAATTCTTATGTTTGGAGTATTTGATCTAAAAAATATAAGGTAAAATTCCCTATGTCATTCATCTATGTCATTCATCTATGTGTCATTCATCTATGTGTAAAGCCCAAAGCCTGCCAAAACACTAGGGTTTCCCTGTAGTACTTTCTGTAAAATTCATTCTGACTCCTGATCTGCATTCTTAAACGTCGTTTATAAAAATTAAATTCACAAGCATATTTGTGGATGGTTAATGCTCCTACTGAAGGCAGATTTTACACTTGTAGCTAGTATTTAACTATGTTTCTTGTAGTCATGCAACTGTCTTACTTATTGTAGTTGCTTTGGAAATTTTTTTTTTTGCTTAATTTTTTAAAATTTAATTTAATTTGCCAGTTTGTGTGAAGCCATTTCAACTTACTGTCATGCAAGCAGCAAAGAGGTGGAAAGATGTAACTGAAGACTCAGATGAAGAAGGTAATTTCCATGGTTAGAAAATGAGCCCTCCTATACATGAAGCTAAAGATGAAAATGTGATCACTTACAGTACAATGTAAGGCTATTGCAACCTTGGTCATAATTGCCCGGATGTTGGACTCTAATAATAATAATAGTAAAGTCTTTATTCATCAAGAGATAAAAATACATATCTTTTGAAAACGTTTTCTAGTGAAAACATTTGCCATTTTGGCTGAACTGAGTTGGGAAGAACCCACTCATTTTTAAGCAAGTGAATGATTAGTCCTTTTTTAAAAAAAAACTTTTGCATGTGGACCAACCTTAAGAAAACCTTTGTTAGAGCTACATTGTATTAACATGGAGGCAGAAAGATTTTAGAACTACGCAGCGCAGATCTTAGAAGGGGGAACAACTTATCATTTGGTTAATACATGTATGCAAGGTTGTGGTCAGGTTAACTGTTAACTGCCTTTCAACAGAGGCTTTTTTGGCTAAATCTGGCAGTTTGTTTTTACTCATTTTACTGTGAGACTGGAAAACATGAAGCCCATCTTCCTTTAATGTGTAGTTATCTTTCACTACATTCAAAAGCATTGATGCGGTTGTATTAGTACTTGCTGCTTTCCTCGGTACACGTATCTCTAAAGTGGGCCACATTTAGTTTTGAAAAAAAAACCTGTCCCAAATACATGTATTACATCCTCAATCAGAAACTACCAAAATAATCCTTTAATGATGACAGACAAAAAACTGTCCACCTTCAGTAGACCAGCACTTTCAGTTAGCACAGAAATATTCAAAAATTCAAATGCTCATGCCACAAATTCCACCTCTGATGATTCAAGGCATCAGTTTTGTGCATTTGTATAATGAAGGCCAAGTTTTAGCTGAAACTTTAGGATTTTAACATTTAAATTTTATGTACTGTTTAAAAGCGAGCAGGAGTGTATTATCAGGTTTAAAAACTAAAGGCGAAGCTGATAGTTTTTAAACCTGATAATACATGACTGCGTGCTTTTTGAACAGCTTCGAAATCTCTGATATGGATCAACTCATTCTTCCACTAATATCTAGATTTGGGGTTATTTTGGTCTTAAAAAAATAGGATGCAAACTCTAGCCGTGTCTTTATCAGATATAAAGACACTCATTAAACTTAAATTTCTTTTTTTTTTTCATGAATTATTAACCAGTTTTTGAAATATATTTATCAGTCAGTAAGTGTATCCATGGACACAGCAAAAGAAGAAATTCAATAATTAGTAACCAGCGATTCTGTTACCTCTGCGTCCTGCATCCCTGACACATAAAAATCCTCAAAGACGTCAAATGATTCATGGCATGCGTCCTATAGGACGCAAAGAATGATCTATCAATTTGAAGATTTTCACTCAGCCATGCGCAAAACCCCTACTCAAATTTTCCAAAATACCCTTGGCGTTTTTAGTTTGCACAAGCAAACCTCTATCCAATTTTCACAGTGTCTAGTGTGTCCATAATCGATTTGTGACAATGCATCTGTAGGCAGTTGTTCAACCCTGCATCATAGTGCTTCTTAGGTAGTTCTTGAGTCATCTGAGGGCAGGAAGAGTGTGCTCTAAAGTCGCCAATGTCACAGGAAATGTCAAATACATCCTTAAAAGTGTTTTTTGGCACCAAAATGTAAGTCCCCCTGCCCCATCTGCTCCACTGCCTATGAGTTTTAAATTGGGCAGATGTTGCCAAAATGTCTATTCTAGCCTTAAAGTGATTTATCCAAACAACATGCCACGCTAAAAAGGCAGGTAAAAGATAAATTTTTTTTTATCTCGCCGTAGACATACTTAGTCACATGCTAGGCAACAAAAAAGTTCATGTGTATCATGTCCCATCGCAGAAAAGGGCAGCCGAATTTTACGAGGGATTACCTCAAACTTTAAAGAACACGCTAAATTTCGTACTAGAAAAAAAGACGTTTCTCTAAAGTTTTCAAGGATCATGAACACAATTTCAGAGCAAAAGGTTAGTCATGTTACGGACGTGTATGTTACAGCTTATTTTTATCAAGCCAGGCCGGATAAGCCCAAAATCTTTTGACGTTACGAAATAACAATGCCGTTGATTGTTCACGAGTATACACTGTTTGTTTGCATTTGGAGCAGTCATTTGAAACTTTACTTAAGGAAATGAAGCTTGATACAGATATCCCTGAAGAAACATTCCCTTCATATAAGTTGAATTTCTATTTCTATTTCTATTTCTATACCTATACTTGGCAAAGGATTCCTGTCACCAAGGTAAATAATAAAAAAAAAAAATGGTAAGAAAATAAAAATGAAGAAAAAATAAAGAAATAAAAGAAATAAATAAATAGAATTATGTAATTAAATAATTAAAATCTGTTCCCGAACAGTGCGTTTAAAAATGTCCAAAGTCTCTATCTTCCTAATATTTAATGCTAGAGCATTCCAGTCTTTTATGGTTCTCAGGAAGAAACTGTTCACGTAGATGTTACCCTTGGAGCTTGGATTTATAAAAGATTATTGAGACCTAGTGTTATAAGTATGGGTTGGTACATTTAAGTGTGAATTGGTCTTGTTTCGAGCATACAGTCGCTTACGTGAATATAACCAGTTTGTGTTGTGTCACAGCTGTATGCCTTTGTAAAATTATCAAGAAATCAGTCTTGGGTGAATCTTTTGTTTTCTGTCCTGCGAGACTTGATCCTCGACTCGATGCTCAGTAGCTTGTTCTGGATTCTCAATTCTCAATTTGCACAGAAATTGAGAATCGTGAATCGAGTCAAGAATCGAGACTTACAATGGACTATCAACTTACTTTTGAACGGTACTGTATGAGTAATTCTCTATGTTTACTTTTTATTAAAGGTGTATGACAACTTTGATGTTTGGCTATGGCATCTTCTTTATGGGAACCCCAGTCACGGGATTGCAGAGCAGATGATTCCCACAAAGTGCAAGTCACTATTTTGGCTTCTGAATGGGGATCAAGCAAAGGGGGACTTTCCACCATAAACAGAGAGTTAGCCATTCAGTTGGCCAAATTCCCTGAAGTGGAAATCACTTTCTTTTTACCTCAATGCAGTCAAGAGGACAAGAAGGTAGCCATGAAGCATAACGTTAAGATTGTTGAGGCAACACCACTGCCTGGCTTTGATCAACTTAACTGGCTTTGCTTTCCACCTGAAGATTTGCAAATGGACATTATCATAGGTCATGGAGTTAAACTCGGTAAACAGGCTCAAATCATTAAAAGATCTAAAAGGTGCAAATGGGTTCAAGTGGTGCACACAGACCCAGAGGAACTTGGAATGTTCAAGAACTATTCAGATCCAATTTCAAAAGGCGAGGAAAAGCACAAGACAGAAGTAAAACTGTGTGAAATGGCGGATCATGTTGTTGGAGTTGGTCCCAAGTTGAGCGAGGCCTTTCGCTCCTATCTTCGCAGCTGCCAAAAAGATGACAATGTTGTTGACTTCACTCCGGGAGTATTAAGTAGAGTTTGCATCTGTGAAGCAGGCTTCTAGCGGAAAAGGCAAGCAACGTAGTGTCTTGGTATTTGGTCGTGGAGGCGTGGAGGATTTCAAATTAAAAGGATTTGACATCGCTGGGAAAGCAGTTGCTGAGTTAGAAGATACTCGTCTTGTCTTTGTTGGAGCTCCAGATGGAAAACACCAAGAAATAGCAAAACAGTTGACCAAATGTGGTGTCCCTGCAAGTCGTTTGAGAGTAAGAGGATTTGTTCAAGATCGAGAGAGTTTAAAGGCGTTTGTTTCAAGAAGTGGATCTTGTTGTCATGCCTTCAAGAACAGAAGGCTTTGGATTGGCAGGACTGGAGGCCTTGTCAGCTGGTCTCCCTGTGCTCATCAGCGGCAACTCGGTTTTGGAAAAGCTTTACACAGTGTACCTTTTGGATCAACATATGTAGTGAACTCAGAGGAACCGGCAGATTGGACCTCTGCTATCAAAACAATCTTTGTCAAGGACGGAGAAGTCGGCGAGGAAGCAGAAACCTTGCGCGAATCCTATGGCAAGAAATACAACTGGGCCAAACAGATAAAAGATCTCATTGACATGATGATCAGTTGGGTGTACGGTATGAATGCCAGTTTTCTTTTTATGAAAAAAAAATATTCTTAACACATTGCAAAAGGAATAATAGTACGTGGACTCTAATAAGAATTGAAAATAAACAAACAAAACCAAATTTGAGTAATATCTGTTGCCTTTTTGTCCCAGCTGAGATCATGAAAAAAGGCGAATACTAAGTTTTATGTTACATGTAAGCAACCAAAGTAAAATAATATTTCACCCAAACCATCTATCGTATGCTTTATCGCCAGTTCACTGGCTTATGGGATTATTCCATACATCTGCATTTACCAAAACAGCCTGTTGTTATCTACTCTTTTTTGTCAACAGATGATTCTTTAGATTACCAGAGCTCTTCAGAAACAAAATGCAGAATTTTTCCATCCACTGATAAAGCTTTGCAGCAAATGGAGGGACAACCGTAGACCCTGAAGGTATCCCTGATGACTTGATAATAATAAGCTTCTTGAATGCCGTTGCTGATCAAAAAGTGTTAGATTTGTACATTAAAATTGTCAACATCCTTTGAATCTCTCTTGGCTTACGTAAGTGTGGATGAACGATAGCTACAATCAGGGGCGTAAGTAGTTGACACACTTGTTTAAAATGGCTGCTTTTTATCAACAATTTCATTCATCTATTATTTCATTCCTTTTAAATGTCAGTAAATCCACTCACCCCAAAATCAATGTTGTCTGAAGTAAAAGAAAGACTTGAGGGTCCAAAATACAACATTGATTTTGGGGGAAGGAGTTGGGGTTCAGAGGGAAGGGAATAGGTATGTCCACTATGCAAAAAGGGGTCATTTATGGAAGTCTAGACCTCAACACTTTTTGTTCGTCATTTTAGCTTCAGTTGCATGTATACTTACTGCTTAAGGCAGAACAGTGGGCTTCAGTCTGCCTCAAACTGGTTTAGGATTTCAATTTTTCTCCATAACTTCAAAGAACATTTCAACTTCTAGAGTTCTCAAATCTCCCAAAAATATTGTTTGGAGGGAGAGAGAGAAAAGAATAAAGAATATGTGGCATGTGAGAACATGTGCACATTTGTGTACTTTTCATGTAAAAATTATTGGATCTCATTATACCTGAAAAGTGCCAAAATTGCAAGAAAACTAATGAAAGCCAATTAAAGAAATTCCTTTGTTGATTTTGTTCATTTAAATATTTCAGAGGAAAGCTATTACGGAGCTCAAGCAAAGACTTTTTTGATCACGGCCACCTTTCAACTTGGCGTGAGGCCTTTCCTTTTTGACGTGCCTTGAAGCTACCAAAAGTGTATTGCTAAGTGTCTTTACTCTTATTGAGACAGTTTGCTGCAAAATATTTTGGGCATAACAACTGCCCAAGATGCAATATGTTCACTTCTGTTCGACCCCATTGTGTTGTATGTGAAACGTACTAACCAGTCTACACTGCACTCTGCAAAATAAATCAACGAGCTAACTGAGAACTATGGATTAAGCAAATAATATTATTAAAATCTTGCTAATTCTCTTATCATAAAAAACTACTTGATGTCAATTTCAGAGGATTATTTTAAATTAATCACTGCAATAGGATCCCAAAAATTATCAATATCCTTGACCACTACACCCCTACAAAACAATGGAAAATGTGATTATAAGTACCTTTTTTTTTCAGCTTGGAATGTTTTTTCCATCTTTACAAAATTTACAATGTGATGCAGAGCAGGTTAGGAAGAAAACCAATCTACCATCTGATCTGAGAGCGATCGCTGCCAACAAAGGATTCTTTGTTTCTGATAACCAAGCATCCGGGAACTGTTTATTCCATTCATTATCAGAACAATTACAAAGTGTCAAAGGAATTCAAATCTCACACAAAGAGTTAAGAAAAACCTTGGTTCAGTTCCTTGATGAGAACCTAATCTGGTAAGTTGATGACTAGCCTAGCATGGACCTTCTGTGTCTGTTTGGTGGATTCCTCCCTTATGATAAGGAACTAAACATATGCTGTGCGCCGAGAACTAGTGAGTCGGCTCCTGCTTTATTTTTTACTTATACTCTTATGTCACAAAGCTTGTCCTATTCTCAATTACTTCATATCACTGCTAATTACTGCCCTACAGCTGTTCCTTAAATTGTATCACGCCAATAATTGATTCCTTAACTCAGTTCGACGTTTCTTTGCTATACTAAATTGGATAAAAGCTGGGATTGAACATACATACCTGCCAACTCTCCCGGTTTTTTCGGGAGTCTCAAGTTTTTCATCAAATCTCCGGTCTCGGTTAGAGCACCAAATCTCCGGATAAAATGGACTTTTAAGCACTTCTGTGCTATAGTTTGAAAATTTAGTCAATTTTTCAAAATTTCAACTTTTGTATTCATTGTACAGTTTCTGGGACATTTTGCACATGTTTAGTGAATGACAAAGATTGGTTCGTCATTACAACGATGAAAGTGCATTTTGATTCCATGTACTTCATGTAAGACGTCATATAATGTCATAAGGCAATTTGTTGGTCTTGGGGGGTGGGGTGTTGGTGCTGTTGACATTCGGGGGTTGGGGGTTGTGGTGCAAAATAGAGAATCTCCAGATTTTAGATCTCTGAAGGTTGCAGGTATGGAGCGTAACAAAAAAGAACTGTAGTATTATGGGATTAAGACTAGGCTCTCTCGATCTTCTTTGAAACCACCCACCTCTTTGTATTTAGTCTGAAATACTTAATGAGCTTTGACTGCAAAACTTGGAGGGTAATAACAACCAAAAACAACCATTTTAGGGCACTTGTCTTGGTGATATCGCACAAATAACGGTACATCATGACCGGTAGTAAGCCTTCTGTCGCCAAGGTTAAAGGTGACTAAGGTGAATTTTTTTAAATCCTGTTAACAGTATCATTTTCCGTCTGAAAACTTCTTTTCAATTTTGGAGAGAATCAAAATAATAAAAAAAAATATTCATTAACAGGGCTGCCTCAAGGGGGCCCAGTTTATAAAATACCTTCTATTTTCTCCCAGGGGTATTATCTGGGAAGTCATAGTGAGGGTGTGCTGTCCGGCTCTCAAATCTTGACACTATTTCAGAGCAATAGCTATAAAGGTTAATGTAAGGGACTCCCCAGGGTTTCCTACGTCAAAAAAAAATGAGGACTATCAATTATTGACTTAGTAACAGCAAAAGCATATTAAGTGAAGGCAGCCACATCCTCGGAGACTTAGGGGCAGCTAGTTGGAGTGATAGAATATTTTGTGGTGAAAGTTTACTGTAAGATTGATATGAGCCCCTGGCACTTACTCTTACCAAACCAATTCCAGAAGCTATTGAATTGCCTGCTTCTGACTGGCCAGAAAAAAAATTTCTGGCCAATCAGCTAAGAAGGAACAGCCGGGTGACTCTGGTGTTTTCTTACATGATGTAGGTTTCCTCCTCGATTTGCCATTGTTGAGTAGCCCATTTAACTGGGAAAGTTTCTTGAGAAGTTTCAGAAAAAGCGTTAACAAAGGGAAAAGTTTCACAAGCATGAAGAACTGTAATGTAATCTAGACAATGTGGGCAAGGTGTGGAAAGTGAGCGTACGTGCATTGCGTATCAGCAATAAAATTTTGATACCTTTTTGTAAGATCCATTGTGAAAACTAATCGGAGATTGTTTGTTGCTTTTTAGCCATACTAAAGCATGCAATTTTCCTAGCCTGCATGGCAAAGCGTTTTCCAATCGAGATTATTAGCGCCAAAGTTAGAGCAGGACCCAACTTTTCTCGACAAATCGCGTGGAAGCGCTTGCTACACGAAACTAAATTTTCGACTTTATTAACATTTTTTCGAAACTGTCCTCAATAAACTTTCCCTGTTGAACACTGTACACAATTATATCAATAAGTGTGTCATGTACAGCCTTTAAATACACTTTCTAGCATAGCTTTCTACCATGTCTCTATTAAACACTCAGAAAAAAATTGAAATTCACTTGTGTGATTGTTTTGTTTTTAGCACGGAAGGAACATCTCTGTTTAACTTTGTCTCCGGATACCCATCTTGGCGTGAATACTTACAAAGCATGGCGGAGAGAGCGGTACCAGGGCAATCATGGTTTTGTTTTGCTGCAGCCGAATCACTTTCAAACTACCATCCGTATTATCAGCGGTCTCGCCCATGAGATAGTTGTCCAGCCAGATCATGCACTTGCCTTTTAACCCCTTGTGTTGGGACACATTCATGGGATTACACTATGTCAGCCTTCAGCCCAGACAGGTAAAACATTCTTTCCAATCCAAACATCCTGGCTTTTTTTTTTTGGACTTGTTAAAATTATGTATGAAGAATTTATATACACATAGCTATTTTGAGAAAGGTTGTCAGAAAAAAAAATGTGCATCTCGACAACCCCAAAAGTAATATGGGATATGATCAATATATGCATAGTTCGGACACTGTATTGTGAACCCTCTTTTGTTGATTTCCTTT